CCCTCGGTGTACAGTGACAGTGTAAACTACACCCCTCGGTGTACAGTGACAGTGTAAACTACACCCCTCGGTGTACAGTGACAGTGTTCAACTCCGAATGTACCTTGAGAAGCTGCTTTCCGACCGTGGGGCTCATCTTCTCGTCCACCATGAAGATCACTATGCCCCTCTCATCCATGCCTCTCCTCCCAGCACGGCCAGACATCTGAATGTACTCACCAGAGGTAATCTGAAGTGGCACAGCGAGAAGACAAACGTCAGAGTACTGCCAACGAAACCGTCTGAAACCTTAGCAACATTTGGGGCATCACCCTTGGCTCAGCCTGATGTGCCAACCTCTTAATAAAGCTACCCGACGATCTGCTTCTGAAAAACTACTGTGAGGAGCCACTACAGAAAACAGCATCACGATGGAATAAAGGCTGAACTGCCATGGCTTTGTCTGAAAGCCCTTGAATGCATGTTCTTTTGGCACATTTATCATTACCAGATGTGCGAAACAGCCACTCTGGACATCAGATTCCTTTTCTGAAGTCAATGGGATGCCAGAAGAAAATGTTTTAGGGAAAAAAAAAATAAAAAATCTAAACGCATTATTCATAACAGCTTGAACTATGGCTTCTTTCTGAAAGAAATACGTGGCTTTTTGTTTCATGCCAAATTCTGCTTCTGAGAACCGATATTTTAGGGAAGAGAACAATTCTTAGTATATACTGTCGTTTTTCCCATTCAACACAAACACAGTAATTGATTAAATTATAAACTTAGCAGCAGAAACAATATACAGGATTACATAGTGCATCATTTACCCAGCGAAAGTCCTTCCCATCAAATTTCCGGGCATTGGTAAACAATACAGTGCGTGCTGGCATATTAATTCCCATAGCAAAAGTCTCGGTTGCAAACAAGGCCTGGGAAGAAGGGGGGAAAAAAAAAACAAAAAACATGTTACGCTACATTGCTGGGAGGTAACCAAGGTGTACATCTGAACATCAAGTAGAAAACTTGTCTGCCACACCCACAATGCTATCAAATCTTATGGTGCCAAAAATATTTGGGCTTCTTCCTTCATTAACCGCACGGATTCACAAACCACCAAGAATCAAAATCTGTCATGTGAAAATATTTAAGGCAGGGCTAGTATTACAGAAGAGCAACGGCTGAAAGGAAAAACAGCCCTGAAATAGTGATTTACAGCATGAGGAAGATTTACGCAAAATCCTCATTGTGAGAAGGCAATGATCCCGAAGCAAATGTTAAAATATTCACATCTCACTATGTGGAATCGGTAAAGAAAACTAAGAACAGAAAAATAAAGTACATCAACGGCAATATATCACTTGAGTTTCACTTGAGTGGGTAATCTGAGACTAGAACACAGTCGATTTGTGAAATCCCTGCACAACTGAATGCTACCACTGTACTTCCCAAGCAAAAAATCCATTTGCAGATTTCCTGCCTTAAGGAGGAGAGGATTTAAACTGAAGCCCACCTTGAGCAGGCCTTCTGAGAAAAGGATCTCGATGGTCTCCTTGAGGATGGGGAGAAGCCCTCCGTGATGAATCCCGATGCCTCTTTTCAAGAGTGGGAGGACGTGCTCCACCTTCACAGAGAACACACATTGTACAGACGTTAAAACTCATTAAGTGAACATGAAGGTGCACTTCAAACGGGGCTGGGGGGTGGCTTTTATGAAGGGAAAAACAAACCCAAGGTGAGCATTCTTGGGCAGCTATACACTTGTATTAAGGAGTGATACAGTGGGATAGTATGTCCCATAAAAACACTTCAAATGCAAAACAAAACCTGTCACGTTACATTGCTGCAGGAAAGACAATAAAATCAATTCAACAACATGCTCCTTCATAGTGTTTACACTCAGCCACCAGATTCCACAGAGACAAACAAGTACTTCCAGGATAGGTGGCCAGATGTGGCAATCATTGGGACTGGTTTTGTACACTGCTATTGGCATCACGGTTCATGGAGATGGCTGAGGGTTGTTCCTCAGGCTTATGACACTGCATACCTGTGTGTGGATGCATCATTCCCACCCAAACAGGCATGCCAATGGAAACCTGAGCCATCCCCGCTTTAAGATACACAACCAAATGAGAGAAGTCTTGCTTACAAAGACAAGTCGCGGACACTGACGGCACCTGAATGTTTCCTACATTAATGTTTCCACTAGCGCCGCTTCATGTGTTACTGCGGTCTGCATATCATTACACAGACCACCTCACAGCGCATCATGCTTTTACAGCATAGCAATGAATTCTTAAAGTACAGATTTATCCTGCAGTTTTAAACAAATACCAAGACGGCTAGAAAAGCCAAACAGGCAAGCAGGGGGTGAAGAAAGAAGGAAAAAAGCCAACAGTCAGTTGCATGTTAATAGACGATTAAGGGTCTAATCAAAACCATGCTGCTAAGCCAAGGGAAACATGTGGAAAACGTTGCTAATCCACTTCAAACAGCGTTTACAAAGGTTCCAGTTCGCTCAGTTAACTCAGGACAAGCTTTGTTTTCCCTTTTCACCATGTGGTTTTGCTTCATGAAGCAAAGGTCAACCCAGACCTGCTAATTATTTCACCTCTACCATGTACTCCAGAGCAGACACTGCCATCGAGACACTCCACCTCGCTGGCCCAAAGGCTAACAGGGATTTAACAAAGAAAACTGACAGGAAGGCCTCAGTCTCACCGCAGATGAACACGCAGCCTACAAGGCTGAAAATTCAGCGGCATTTGGCGAATAAGCAGGTCCACGCTAGGCACATGGTGAAGATGACAGAAAACACAGAGCCCAATTTCTACTCTCCATAGGCATCCCATAAAAAACCCAAACATTTCCTGATGTCAGTGGAAGAGGTTGTCGAGTTCTGTTCAACGTGCATGCAATACAAATTTCCTTTGGATGTGATTATTTTTTGGCAGAACTGCTGATGGGAAATTACTATTCCAAACAAGGAGCTGTCTACAGTTCAGATACATGGTCTATTAGGGAATTCTTCTACAAAACTGAGCATGCGCCAATTTTTGGGAAGACTGATTTTTGAGAACGTATTTGAAAAACTGAAACATGCTAGCTGAACATGCAAATCTCCAAAGTCCCAGTGCTCAAACGCCCACAATCTGACACTTTAACATCTTGCTTGTTTGAAGGTGTATAGAGGCTTTTAAATCTCCTTTGCATTAACATGCATGTAAACACTGAAACCTGAAGGCATCAAAAAAAACAGGCAGGATCCTACCTGCGGGAGCTTCTTGTCTTCGTCTGACAGGCAGTCGATGGCATTATTGAAGACTTCCTCCACAAGCTTCTTCTCTTCATCTGCACAAACACAGCATCAGGGCGATGAACCCGGGAGACGACAAATGAAAACAAGCTCACAGACAAATTAACGCTAATGAAACATTTCAGCATGTTGCATCTGGCAGCTAGAAACCACAGGAATTATATGGCACTTACGACAAAACGAACATTTCACTTCTGAACCAGAATTAAATGATAATTTACATGCTAAGTTAACCTATATGGCAGGGGTGTGAATTGCTGGCCCCGAGGCATTTTGATTACAATTACTGAGAGAGCGATTTGATGCGTGGGAATTTTTTTAATTCATAATTCTATTCAATCAATCCGTTATTTTGATAACGTAAAATAGAACATCTTTTCACTTCACTGAAAAAACGTAAATATTTCCATGGGAAATTAATTAAGCATTGGGAAAACATACCAGTGTAAAATTGTTAAAAGACCAACTATTGAACTGTACAGAAACAAAGAAGTGCTTTCTAATGGGGGGGGGGCTATTTGTGCAGATTATAGAATGACTTTTTATTCTATGAAAAACAAGAGGGTGATCTGCAGGCCAGATTTAATAATGAATTATAAGCATGTCACAGGCCAGTACTTGAGACCTCTAAGTGGTGAACGAACTCAAGGAAATCCTGTGTACCCCACTACAGAAAAGGGCTGATCGCCCAACGCTGTCCCCTCTATTATTTTAGTTGTATCTTTTGTTCTGGTGCTGCTAATGTTGAACATTGATGAAGTTAGAATAGATGAATATAGGCCGGCAATGCACGATAAGATACCGATGCTGATATCTTACTTTTTAATTGGCCAAAGCAATATGTTAGCCAATAATTTATGGATCTCTAAGGACAGCATTACTTTTTATTTAGCTAGCTACAGCTACCTCAAGGTCTTGACCATTGCTACTGTAGCTTGCAAAATCAACTTTTTTTGCACTATACAACTAAAGATGTGCATGGTCAAAGGCCCACCCAATATAGATACATAAAACATCGAAACGCGTAACACTGAAAATACTGAAGTCTACAGTTACCTACACAAGCATACAATCAAGAGGCAATGCCAAAAATAAGAGTGATGACGGCATGTGACATTTCACATAAAAAGCCTAATAATGTCAAGTTGCAAAAAGTTAGTAGTAGTAGTATAGTCATGGCTTGGAGTATTTTAGAAGGCCAGATTTATGACTGTTAGTCTCATCCCACCCATGACTGAAGCAGCTCAGCCCCAGGAGTCATGAGCGTGGAATGCTCTCCCTGGCTGCGCACGCACACACACACACACACACAGACACCGACAGACAGAGACACCGACAGACAGAGACACCGAGACAGACAGAGACACCGAGACAGACAGAGACACCGAGACAGACAGACAGAGACACACACACACACAGACAGACAGAGACAGACAGACAGAGACAGACAGACAGAGACACACAGACAGAGATACACAGACAGAGATACACACACTCTCTCTCACCAGTCCCCCAGCTAATCCTCTGGACCCTGCTCTCCTGGCAGACCACATTTAGGAGCAATGTCAGGCAGCTGAGCACTTCTATTCTAGGCTCTGAGGTGGGGCTTCGGGAAATGGGGGGGATTTCAGCACAAATACTGTCAACATGAACAGACAGGTGGAGCCACAGCCATCGATCATCCCTATTTTCATAGGTGCTTCTGTAAGGTTTCCGGGGGAGACGAGAGGCTGAGCTCAAAATCAGAGCAGTGCTCCTCAATGAGGCCGGAGGCGGCCAGGCTTCAAGTGCCTCACATGGGCATGAGCCGCTCCACATCTTCTTACATGGTCAATTGCCCTTGAAACCTCTCCCCAATCACGATCCCAGGCTCTTAGAAGGCTTATAAACACAGTCCTCCAACGGGCCATCTGCGCTGAAAGGCAAAGGCATGTGATGTCATCCTGCTGGGCCAAAATCCAGCGCACCTTCCTCCGGAGCACTGCCATTAACGCTGCGTCAGGGGGATGCTCTAAGTCTAAAGAGCCAGCTTCCGTGCCCCCCACCCCTCCCCCCCACCACCAGCAGAGGGTCTAGAGGATCAGAGGGAGAACGGGAAAGGCGGCCTGCGGCTTATGACACGGGGAGGTCACATGACTGCTCAGCAGCACCGGCAAGAGATACTCAACCGCAAAAGGTCTTCAGTCATAGTGAAAGCCCAGTTCTAAAAATAATTCAGGGTGTGAACTATCCCATTTCCTAATGGCAAAAATGCCTTCAAGGCCGAAATTCTCCTTTATGCCAAGCATGACAAACATACCGATTCAAATATGTAGCACAGTTATACGATTACATAATTCTAGTGAACTCTGCATGTAAAATTTCCATAAATGGGGATTGCACCACTAGTCAGTTTAACAAATGCATTAGTAGAGGCTTGATCATGTGGATAGGTGACAAGCTTACCAATCTAACCAGAGCATCAGACCACCAGATGGGGCAGACTGAGACGCCAGAATAGATAATTGAAGTGAAGACACATAAATGAATGATGATGCACGTGATTTAGCAACCAATCACAATATGTCTGTTTGGCTGAGAGTGCCTGAACATTAAAGAACAACATTACAGTGAAAACTAAATGTAATAAAAGTTATACAAAGCCTTATATGTACAGCTGTAGTACTACAGGCAACTTTTTCCAGGCCCATATAAAAAAAAACACAGAAATCATAATTAGCTTCACAGCCTATATTTAGCTAAACAAAGGCATGACATTTTCACAACAAAGTCAAACCCAACAAGCCAATGTATTGCTAAACATGCAATTATGGTTTCAGCTCCTCGCAGCCCAGTGGTGCCTCACTGCGAATCACCAAAAACAAAAATTACTTGAGGATGGTTCCCAGGATCACCACCATTGTTCCGGAATCATCACTTTAACTTAAACAGCTACTTTAGGAACGCGAGTTTCCATTTATGACCTTCAACACAATCCAATGGCAAACAATGCGAAAGGGTACATTTTGTACAAGGACCACACATCAGACCACTTCATTTACAAGGAAACCCATGTGGTTTCCCTAAGACAGGTTTTTTTTTTATAGATCTCTCACCACACAAGAAAAACAGCATTTAAGATTCGAGCGGAAACTAAAACGTAAAAGACACACTGGACAGGAGAACTAGACACAAGTCAGCTGCAGATTCAAAGAGGTATCATGACACACACACACACACACACACACACACACACACCCAGGGATTGTGAGGCCCATTCCACGCACCTGTGTTGAAGTCCAGCTTGGCCACCTGTATGGCGTAGGCTTCACACTCCTTCTTACTGAAGCTGAAGATGATGACTGGCTGAAAGTTCCTTTCCATGATCATCTTGACGATCTTGAAGACGTTGGAAGGGCCTGCGGAGATGGCCATAGTTTAATCACCAGACTGACCTCGCGAACCTGGCAGGAAAAGGACCCGGACAGCAACAAGCGCAATGCTGTCCATCACGTCAAGCGCCACATCGACCGCTGGAAAAGTACTCAGACGGCTAACTAAAGAGGTGGAGCCTGAGTTCAGTGCAAACCGTTTTTAATTAAAAAGGGACAAAAGCTTAATGGGACCAAGCGAAATCGGCGGAGCTCTGTGGGTGAACTGGGCTGGGCAGGCAGGAGATGACGGCCCCCACCTTTAGTCCCTCCTTTGCGGCCCTTGGGGTCCCACTTGGCACCACTGCTGCTGCCGGAATCGCCAGCATCCCTCAGCACCTGCATGGCCGTGTTGAAGTTGTCCTCTCTGAACTCCCCCTGAGAGCGCAAATAAAATGGGTGTAGATCAAATTACCCAAGAGGCTCACAGCTTGCAGGCCCCTGACAGATATACAGGCAAAGCAGGGAGCAAGACGTCATTATTCATGGCGAGTGACTATATACGTCCAAAGCTGATACAATAGTTTTCCCCAATGTTAACGCTAAGTGGCAGTCATCCAGATAAAGAAATCAGCCAGAAAAATCACTTATAAAAACTCTCACTTTCCAATAACACCAACTTACAGATATTCTTAGAGCTGTCGTGATTACACGATAAAACTCGATTATTAAAAAGCATCGATTAAAATTTTCCTTCAATTCATCGGCAATATGGTGAAGACGGCGCATAGCGGATGAGGGTCCAGATGAAGAGCAAAATACTCAATTGTATGGAAGCACGACATTAAAAGGAAATGAAAATGCGATTGTTTGTTGGTACTGCAAAGCAGAACTTAAATATCAGCACAGAATGACTGCAAACCAACTACATCTTAAAAGACGACATTCAGGTTTGACAGACTCACCAAATAATGCAAGGTTAGCCATAGATCTGTGCCATATAGATTCTCAGTAAAGCATAGTAAGTCTGTCATCACTTTGCTTAATTCACTTATGTTTCCCCGTCATTTACACGCATCATCTTATATAATCCAGTATATAATAACCACATAATATTTTTTGTGAACCTAGCGTGTGTTTTGAGGAGGGCTGAACAATACTGGAAAAAGTTCACATTGCAATATTGGAAGTTATTTCTATACTTTAGAGCTAATTGATGAAACATTTGAGTTAAATACAATGGTTCACAATAAGGAATGCATGCATTACATTGTAACACTCATGAAAACATTGTGCGGCTTCAGTGATTTCTCAGCTCGAGGTGCAATACAGTGCTGTACGTAGCTACTTTTATCATAACAGAATAACGTACCATATTATCATTGATTATCATTGTTGAAACTTACGAATTTAACTTAAAGACAAAAACATAAGGAACAGAACTCAGTCACAACCTGTAAACTACCAGTATAGCCAAATAGAACTTATCTACCAAGAGCCAGTCATATTGCTGGTGTTTCCATGAGTTGTGCCACTAGACAAAAGTGCCGATAAATCACTTGCTTTTGCCTAATATCGTCTCTATGGAATACAAAATATTTTCATACAGCAGAAGACTAATGTCTTTTCTTGACCACTTCTCGTTCGCTTTTCTCTTTACTTTTTGTTATGGAAAAGACGGAGCTGGGCCAGAAATCGAAGCTTTTGATGTACTTGTCAATCTACGTTCCTACCCTCAGCTACAGTCATGAGCTCTGGGTAATGACTGAAAGAATGAGATCACGGATACAAGCGGCTGGAATGAGTTTCCTCTGCTGGGTTTCTGGGCTGAGTCTTAGAGATAGGGTGAGGAGCTCGGACGTTCGAGAGCCACTGCTCCTGCACATTGAAAGGAGCCAATTCTGGTGGTGTGGGCATCTATGTAGGATGCATCCTGGACGGCTCCCTGAGGAGGTGTTTCAGGCATGTCCAGCCGGGCAGAGGCCCCAGAGCAGACCCAAGACATGCTGGAGAGATTATATCTCTTGGCTGACCTGGGAACACCTTGGTATTCCCCCGGAGGAGCTGGAGGAGGTGGCTGGGGAGAGGGAGGTCTGGGCATCCCTGCTTAGACTGCTGCCCACACGACCCGACCCAGGACAATTGGCAGAATTTTTTTTTTTTTAAATGAAATTCCAAACCTTATCAAGTTTTGATTCCTGTGACTGAGTAGGAATGTTTTAGCACAACTTATTAATTGTTTGACCACAGCAGATTACTGCGGTCCTTGCAAAATGATTATTGCATGTGCATGAAGTGTCACATATATATTATGATCACAGCATGCAAGCATTGAGGGCAACACTTTGCTACTTTGTATTTCTGGAGTTTGCATGCTGATGCAGTGTTGATGCAGTGCTGATGCAGTGCTGATGTGCCTGGGTGCGGAGGATCCTCTGGTTTCCATCCACTTTCCAAAATCATGCAGTTTCACTTAAAGTGAACAGGAGTACCTAAACTGACTGTGCAACTGTGTGTGCACTCTGCAGTGGTTGGTTGGTTCCTGCATCACACCCACAGCAATGTATGTCTCATTATACACACAATTACTCTACGAATCGGCAGATGCAAATCAGTAGATTACTCAATTATGGATATCCAATCCATGACAGTCCTAGATATTTTAAAAAATCAAAAGGCAAAAACAGATTAATTGTAGAGATACGCTACATAGATGACAGCTGGATATGAGGGATATGCAGTTTACACAATGATAGGGGTAGGAACAGCCCCGGCTACAAGAGTGGTAACTTCCATAAAATAAGTGTGTAAACTCACACCACATTTCTTCTCCCCTTGAAAACCAAGCAGTTTCAGTTGATTTTTACACCTGACCTTTTTGTTAAAAGGAAATAAGTAAAGCCGGATTGCACAAGTGCAATATTTCAGTTCCTTACTGAACTTGTGATGCAAGGCCAAAATAAAAAAAAAAAAGGTAGGCGGCAGTTAAAACATGAGGCAAGAAGATGGTCTTTTACTTTATAATGCATAAATAGGAACAGGTATAATATCTATACTAAGGAAGAGAGAAGTTTTATAGCCAATAAGGCATTTACGACACTTGTCACTGTGCAAAACTTAAGCAAAGAAAAAGCATTACCTTTATCATCTTAAAAATATTTTTGCTTTAGCCTTAATACTACAAAATCCACTGGGGGAGAAAGATGATCAAATATAATATACATGTACTACAAAGATGCTGTGATATATGAAATCACTGCAAATACATTTTAATATCGAGACAGGGGAATCATATAAACCGAAACATGAAGCAAGTGTGGCCACTGAATCACTCACGTTTTCATCCACCACAAGATGAAGTCCATCGCCACCTGCTGGAAAGACGTAGTGCTGCAGGGGAGTTGGGCGGTAATCTGTGTAAACTACATGGCATGGCTGCAGGGAAATAAATTACAGTTACATCAAATTGTAATAAGCATAATAATGACCTAATAGTAAAGTAAGCAGAAAATACTGCCATTAGATACAAAAAGGTACATTGCTAAGATTCTCCAAAAGTGTTTCCATTTTAAGTTAAGTTTAAGTATTGGGGGGGAAAAAAACACTGCCATGGGATACAATCATGCACAAGCAGGGATTTAAATTTAAGGCAACACTGCAGCTGAGCTTTCACTGCTGCCGCACACATTCCTACACTATGGACGAACAGGACTGAGTGGGGACCTGCTTTACAAGCTCACCTGCTTGTGAAGGTGGCAAATCCACTCGGCGAACTGCCGCGCATTGGGGATGGTGGCCGACAGGAAGACGTAGTGCACATTGTCAGGAAGCAGGATGATGGTCTCCTCCCAGACCACACCGCGCTCTGCAGACACGGGGCTCAGCTGTTACTCAAAGTCAGTGTTTCCCAACCCAGTTGTCGGGGACCCCCCAGGCCGTCCACCCACTCCCTCCCAGCTTCCCGAAGGCTGGCTGGAGAAACACCCCTCTAAATAATCTATGAATACAGCCTGGCAAACGTGTGAGAATCTTATACACCTACATATATAAACATGCAGGACACATAGTGCAAACACGCCTTTATACTTTACGTTCCCATCAGTGCAGCTTATATACCCTGCCGCTTATATACCCTGCAGCTTATATACCCTGCAGCTTATATACCCTGCTGCTGCATGCAACAGGTTTTCCATAACAAATGGATTTTCTTTTTAAAAGTTAGTCTGCCTCACCCCTACCCCTCCCTGCCAGACAATATCCTAATCAGTCACTACGTTCACTCACAGTCATTTAAAGACTTAAAAATCTTCCCATTAATTTACACTGGTAGCTTGCACTACTGAATCTTGGAGGAAAGTGATTCCAAAAAGCAAAAAATAAAAAGAAATATCCAACAATAGGCATCAGTATGGCGTAATAAGAGATACAAAGCTAAAACACACATCCCACATGGGTCTACCCCATGCTCAGCACTTATATTGGCGATTCTAAGTAAGTGTAGTCTCTGAAGGACACAATAACTGCGTAAGAAGATGCTGATCTGCTCAAGCACCTGCATCCCTCATGTAGTGGATCTCATCGAAGACAACCCAGGCCACCTCTCTCATCACCTCGGAGCCCCTGTACAGCATGCTCCTTAAAATCTGCAAAGGAGCAAAGAAATACTGGGGTTAGGCAAACTACATCCGACAATAAAGGAACAGCAGAGAGCGACGTTAACTTGGTTTCCCTTAAAATGCTGCCATTTGCATTTTTAATCCAATGACAATCACTTTAGGCTCCTTAACCATAAATCCACTCTGATGTCAGCCAAAGGAAAGACTTCAGCAGCAGCACTAGGGCACATATCTGTAAAGGAGCGTGTCATCTAGAAGGGACGGCCCACCTCGGTGGTCATGACCAAGCAGGAGGCTGTGGGATTGATGGTGACGTCGCCCGTCATCAGGCCGACATCCTGGAACTCCTCGTACATCTCCCGGTATTTCTGGTTGCTCAGGGCTTTGATGGGACTGGTGAAGATTACTCGCTGTTTCTCCCTCAGCGCCAGGGCAATGGCATACCTACAGCACAGAGCAGAAGATGGCTATGAGTGCTGCTCCGAACTCTGCGATTTCATTCTATTTTGCTTATCAGAAGGCACCTTTGCCCAAAGCTACTTAGACTGATTCATTCTGCCAGTTCATAGAGGGGGATGTTTCACAGCATCTCATGCTAAAGGGGCAGCAAAAATCCACACAGCTTCACATTTAGCTCCTTAAACAGCCTTGTCACCAATTGCACTACACAAAAAAAAAACGTTTTCACATTTTCGGCAAATGTTACCATATTCTTCTGCTTAGACTATGAACACTACACTACACAAAAACAAAGTTTTACTTTTGTAGAGAACACTCACTCTGCACATACAGTCTTCCCGGCAGAGGTATGGGCAGACACAAGAACAGACTGGTTATTGTCGATGCACAGAATAGCCTCACGCTGGAAGGGGTCCAGGATGAAGGGGTACTCCTACAGGACGACACAATTGGAATTCACCAGTAGTTTACCAGATTGGTATAAAGGAAGCAGAATATTTATGACAGTTAGAATGAGCATAAGGCATAAATGCATCAGTTTCACCCACATTAACTTCGGTTAATGGTCAGTATATATGACAGTCTGAAATACCTTAGCTGCTTTGCCAACTCTGGGCTTGAGTGATGTATAGTCATCATCAGCTGGAAGGGCCACCTAACGGAGGCAAACAGTAATCAATCACAGCATAAAAAAACAAGATGGAGTCATAGATCCTATTATCGGCAACCTCACCTCATGTGTGCAACCTTCCACCGTCTCCACCTGTTCCACCTTCACTTTAGGCATGAGGTCTGCAAGGCTGAAAATGTTACACATCAGTTGCCGTAATCAGACTAATGTGCACCATCAGTAGTTCTAGCATTGCAATTAAACAGAATCCATCTTTTTAGCAAAACATGTCCAGTAGAGGGTGGCAGCTTGTATAATGCAGTTGCAATAATCAGATTAATCATCATAATGATTTTCAACCGTAAATAATTATCCAATTATAAACTTTACAGAGCTATGGAAATCCTGACCCTGGAAGTCTGCTATAGTACTTTCATTTTCACGAAAGCAGGTAGGAGATGGAACGGCACACCATCCCAACCCACAACCATTAATGGGAAGATGCTTCCATGTCAAGGTTCAGTAATACAGGTTAGGGTTGCAAAATTGTGGGAAGTTGAGAAACTTGCAGGCCTGCTTTTATCAAGGAACTTAAATGTAGTTGGGGAAAAAAACATCTTGATGGCACTAATAGTGAATTCATCGTGTAACCAAATGCTTGTGAGTAATTATGTGTGCGGGAAAAAAACACCCCAAAATAAGCATCCGCATCAAAACACACCGCTTGTAAGTCATATTCTATGTTGGATTGTAATACTGTTTGCTATCTTTGCTGTATCCCACAGGCTGCATGGATTTCACGCAGTTCAATATTGCCAAAATTCCAAAGCTTGACTTCCCATGGAAAGATTCCACCCCTCTGCAACCCTACTTCCTATGGAAAGTTTCCGGAAATTGACCCCGATTTTTCCACCCCTTTGCAAGCCTAATGTAGGACTTTTGGACATAATTGGCATAAGATGACCACATATGCTTACATACCTAAATCTGGGGCCTGTACTAACCAACCAACCAAACTATCCTAATCCAAAACTAAAGGCAGCGGCGGCTACCTCAGTTGCAACATTAGTGCAGATATTCCCTTACTTTATATCATCAGCAGACATGGTGTCAATCTTAGGCTTTTTCCCAAAAATGACCTCATCGCCGTCATTTTCAAATTCCCGCTTGGCCTGCGAGGTGGAACCCTTTTCAGCCAGATCCTTCCCATGGGCTGCTTTCCTAAAAGAGAGACAATCACCACAGTAATGTGTCTACATTGCAAATATAAATATTTAGTTCCATATGCTGTCTGAACGATGGTGAACAATCATATTCATTACAAACGTTTTTGTCTGAGGCGAAGATACAGCTGTCAATGAGTGAGCTATGCACCACTGCAACTGTCCGAGCTTCCAGTTAACACCCAGCGACAAGGGTACAAGATTAAACTCCTTATCGTTTTAAAATTGACCTAACCAGAAATAATATATATTGTTAAGTAAACAAAACAGCATATTAATAATCAACAACCGAAAATGGCTGACAGCCTGACAAAAATCAGGAAAACAGCGTATGTATTTAATAGGACTCTAACATTGTCTCCTGGTCGCTAAATCTTTAATATTTTTGCCACAATAATTACGCTGCTACCAAGTTCTGAAGAGTTGTGTACATCCTAGGCAGTTGCACAGATCTTACACGTGGTTCAGCCTGTCTACTGAAGCTAACTAAGGCAATGCCACAACAGCGGTTTAACACATTTACACAGGTGGCTGAAAAGACCTACCTATAAATTGAGTAACTATCAAGATTATACCACTCATACCATTTACAAACCTACTGATGTATTATGGTAGCTAACTACGGAATTGTAGCCAAGAACGTACAGGCTAAAGCGGACTTGTAACAAACTACCTTTACGACTCTACACAGATTAAGTTTTAAGGATGTTTAAAATTAAAACTGTCAAATATCATTATTTTTACCCCGACGATGGTCCTAAGGAAACGTTCTTTCGTTTGCTGGAACCTCCTTGGTCCTCCTCAAACACGCTGAAAAGCTCATCTCCAAAGGCGTCCGCCATAGTTCCGAAACATCTGTATGAAACACAACTCCCATAATGCACTTCGAGCTAAACCGCTTCCGCTACGGCGTCCCAAAGAGGACAATTTTGCTAATCGGAACAGTGGAAGTACATGATACCGTGCATTGATTTCAAAAACGTAGTATTGCACGAAAAATTATATAACATATTTTACTATATAAAGACATGTATAGGGTGCGTTTTAAATTTTGCCATATGTTCCCCTTCAACTTGAAGTGCTGTTAGTTACCAATCTGAGCAGCGCCAGTCGCTTGCCTAGCGAAATGAGTTTTAACTTTAGCTAGCAGACAGGAGCATGCAGACAGCTGCTAGTTAACGTCAGTGATAGTAGGTAGCTGCGGGGTTAATGCAGCAGTTAACAGATGATTCTATGCAGTTGATTTAGTCTTAGTAATAAAAAACAACACTTTTTGTTAATTATGGGAAAAAAGAAGAAATCGGTGCCCGTCGTCACGGGGACGTCGGCAGCAACAGGCAACCCTTCAGGTGCTGGAAATGAAAGTGTCGCTCCTGAGCTAAATGCTAACAAGAGGCCACAGCAGAAGCCAAACTCCGCCAAAACATCTGCTCGGGATAACAAGTCTAAAGGTGGGGTGTCCCACTCTTAAATATAATCCGATGACGCGAAATGTACAGTTTTTAACCATTTATGTTGATAATTTAGATATGTGGATATTTTAATTAAATTACCCATTATTTTAGGCGTTTAATTACAACTTTGATACTGAATAGCTAAAGGATGCAATAATTTAATTACTGATATACATTTGTATGTCATCTGCTGTATTTGTAATTGAAAATGCTGTTCGCGTTAGGGTCATTGAATGTTTCAAATGTGGGTACACTGACCATGATGATTTTAGTCTTCCAGACGTCCTTGAATGACTTTGTCTATTTCTCTACACATAAAAGCACCGAAAACATATAGCTTCGCCAACACCGCCCAAGCTGAATCAGGTGGAGCCCCCAGTCACGATAAGTCAATTCTGAAAGTAAGCCCGTTTTTATTGTGTTTGATCAGACATTTGTTTTTTGAGATCAACAATTTCAAGCCTATTAACTGTTTTTGAAGGTTGTTATCCAAGCAGATTTGGAGAAAAGGATAATCAAGCTAATCAATGACTATAGACAAGAAAATGGAGATAAAGGACCAATATCCAGGAGACTCACTACAAAAAAACTGCTGGTAGGCATATCATTACCAATTTTCTGTATTTTTTTTTCTTTTTCCTGCTGCCGCAAATAATCAGGTGACTGACTATAACCTGGTACAATACCATGGCTTGTTACAGCTGAATTGACTTCTGATTAAACAATCTTTTCAGGATCTTTACATGGCCCTCCAAAAGCTACACTTCAAGACGGAGCACATTGAGGAGGCGATGAAGAGCAGCGTGTTGTATGGCGGAGATTTGCATTCAGCCCTTGACTGGCTTTGCTTAAACCTCCAGGATGGTAAATAATGTTTGAAAGAAATCTGAGATACACAGGCAGGGAGTAGATTAGATCTGAATAAGACAGTAATTATGCTTTTGATTCTGATTTCCTATAGAGGAGCTTCCAGAGGGCTTCAGTCAAAAAATGCAAGAGGAGAAACCTACTGAAAAACCAAAATTTCAGCCACCCCCTGATGAGGCCCAACCAAGAATGGAAGCTTGCAAGATGCTAGAGAAACAAAAAAACGTATGTGTCGTTTATACCTGGGGGGATGTGCAGTCATTGTTCTGATAAGCCATGATGTATGGACATACTCGTACTACTTTTTTGTAACCTAAGATACTTCTTCGGTACTTTGGAGTGGGACTTGAAACGCTTTCTTTGTCGATTGGTTATGCAAATATCCTGCCGCTGAAACAGTACAAATGCACAATACAACACCTTGAAGTACCGTACTTTTGGTACTTTCACCGTACCTGGTGTGGTGGAAAAGCAAATGAAGATGATGCCTCTTTTTTGGTTCCCATAAAGCTATATGAGGTATGTCGTTCATGTGACACGTGACTTTATGGGAACCAAAAAAGAGGCATCATCTTCATTTGCTTTTCCACCACACCAGGTACGGTGAAAGTACCAAAAGTACGGTACTTTGGGTGGTCCCATAAGATTATAATGGAGCTGACAAATTGCTATCAGATAGTAACATCACAGCCATCGTAACAGAGCACAACGCATCATTTGTTTGCAGTGATGCTGGTGTAAATAAACCTACTTCCCTGCCAGTCATATAAAAGTGTAGCACATATAATTACGTGCAGTACATAGTATTTGATAATGATAAACAACTATGTTACTGGTTTATGTATTTACTATACTGTGCTTTTTATTGAACTTTAGGCTATACCATATAGATTTGGTGTGTAGTAGGCCACGCCATCTAGGTTTGTGTAAATACATTCTATGTTGTTTGAACAACAACAAAATCTGTTAACGATGCATTTCTCAGAATGCATCTTTGTTGTTAAGCGAAGCATGACTCTATGTCAGTGTCTTGCACGTGCTTTTGTCCTCGAATTGCGTTTTAAGTGGGAATCCAGTCTGTAACACCTGGGCCATATTTCCAAAGTATAACGGAGACATTAAAGCTGGAATAAAATTATTAACCGAATGCAGCTTCCTGTTTGCCGCAGGCCGCTCCTGGGAAAAATGAGGATGCGGCCATGAAGGAATGGATCCTGAGATATGCCGAGCAGTCCAGCGAAGATGAGGCCATGGAGGAAGGAGAAGAACCGGAACTTGACCTGGAACATGAACAGAAATTTGACCCAGTAAGTCAGTCTCAGGGACTTTTAAACTTGATGGCGTTTCTCACTCATCCCATCTTAAGATCTCTGTGGTTGCTCTTATTTATGTACAGTCAAAAAATGCAGTACATCAATATGCATAGATGCAGTCAGCATATAGTTTCTCACTTATGCGAGCTGAACGAGTTTGTAGCATCTGACCCAGATGTGTTAAACTTCTTGGTCCTTAAATACCCTTAATTTGGGATGAGACCTGCCCAGCCATACTGACCTTATCATCCTGTACAGTAAAGTATTGTGAAGCACGAAACAATTTGGTAATTCAATATGTTCTTTGCTGAGTTTATTGTATGTGAGTTGTATGTTTCACACTGGTTTTTTATGTAAACTCTTCTTAGTCTTTAAGGGATTTTATCTTCGTACTTCTATAAAAAATTGATATGAAGACCACATTTGCAGGAAATAATTATGTTTAAAAATCAGGAAGTGGGTGCTCTGCAAATGAATACATAAGTACGTCCAAGATTATATGTGTCACATGCACAGTTAAACTGGTACAACTTCCAGTGAAATGAAAACCTGGCTTGCTCCTGCAGCTGTGCAAAAAAGAGACAGTATGGATAAGAAAAAAAGCGGGAGGGGATGGGGGGG